CCCCTGCCCACCGCCCAGCCTCTGTCCCTGTGGCCCTGTCCCCTGCTCTGCCTATGCCCCATGCCCCTGCCCCAAACATGTCTCCACATACCCGTTCACCTGTCCTGGGCAACTGGTCTACCTGGCCCCAGGGCCTGAGGCAGGACTGGCCTGGCTTCCAAGGTCCCACCCCCGGACGGTGCCTGTGAGACAGTCAGGTCTGGGATGGGGGAAACCCTTTGCATCCCATCTTGAACTGTCAGCTTACACACCCATTGCTTCAACTTCACCCCTTGCTAAATCCTAGGCGTGTCTGAAACTCAGAGGGTCAAAGTCCAAGGTGTTATAAATTGTCAACACCGAAAGAGGTCTCAGGAGTGTGTAGCCCCAGGTTCCCAGAGTGGATCCTGTGGGTCCCCAGGGGGTTCCACAGAGGTGCTTCTGGTACCGAGGAGAGAGTGGCTTGCCTCCCTTTTCGTCTAAATGCTGTAAGCTTGAGGCTTCCGCATGTCATTTAGACCAGAGGACCCCGCTGTTTCTAACAAGCCAGAAGACTTTAGTGCTGTCCAACCTCTCAGCCCCTTACAGGAACTGAGAGGCAGAGGAGGGGGAGAGGAACGTCTTGCTCAGGGCCATTTAGTGGGAGTGGCACCAGCTCTCCAGAGGCCCCAGTAGTGTTTGTTCCCACATCCTATCCCAGTCCCTCCAAGGCCATGGAGATAACTCGTGGATCGGACCCAGTGACCTCAAAGAAATAAGGCTGGGCTGAATAAGAAGATGGTCAAGAAAGACGTTTCCTATTGTGATCAACGCTGCGATAAACATACGTGTGCAGGTATCTTTTTTATAGAGTGATTTAAGTTCTCCCCGTGTTGTCCATCAAAAGAGGACTGGGTAAAAAAAATGTGGTCCATACACACAATGGAATATTACGCAGTCATAGAGAAGAATAAAATCAGGAACTGTGCAGCAACTTGGATGGAATTAGAGTTTATAATACCGAGTGGTCTCTCATAGAAACAAAGATCTGAGTGTCACATGTTCTCACTCATAAGTGGACCTTGAGCAACTACCGTGATACTATAACAAAGGGACTGACAGTAGTGGGAAACTGCCGCGGGGAGGAGGCCATGGAGGTGGAATTGGCAGTTTTTGATATCTGCCTGGGGAAGGGGGGGACACACCTCATCAACAAGGGTACCTGCACAATGAATGTTTGTATACCTAACCCTGAATTGTACCCCACATTTTTTTTTTGAGTTGGAGTCTCACTGTCACCCAGGCTGGAGGGCAGTGGCACACTCCCAGCCACCTAGCCTCGACCTGCTGGGCTCCGGCGATCCTTCCGCCTCAGCCTTCCAAGTAGCTGGAAGGATTTATTGTAGAGATGAGGTCTCGCCAAGTTGCCCAGGTGGGTCTTGAACCCGCGGGCTCAGGCAATCCACTCACCTCAGCCTCCCAAAGTGCGGGATTACAGGCTGAGCCACCGAGCCTGGCTACAATTTTAAAATTAAAATGAAAAAAAGACGTTTCCTCCCTCCTTCCCTCCCTCCCCTCCTCCCACGCTTTCTCTCTTTCTTTCTGGTGGGTTTCCTGTGAGCCACATGGGGTCCTGGGAAGAGCAGTGCACTTGGGGCTTGAGGACATGAACTTGAGTCCCAGCTGTGTCAGGACCGCCATGGTGACTCTGGACCAGTCCCTTCCCGCTCTGGGCCCCCTCCCATTCTTTTCCATCCCGCTCCATAACTGGGTTTGGGTAGATGGGATGCGGAGCTCCCCTGAAGCCCGCTGCTGCCATGAAGTTCGCTGTGTGTCCAGGGGATCCTGCCCAGTGGGAGCCATCGCTGTGTGTCCAGGGGATCCAGGAGCAGTGGGGGTTCTCAGCACAGGGAGACCCGGGTCAAGAGGGGCACGGAAGCACCAGGTGGGTCACATGGGAGAACTGCATTAGACCCAGGCAGGCGGGGGCAGAGTCGCCCTCTCTGGGTTCAGTGGTGATGCCTGCGGCTGGACAAGCCCCCAGGCAGGGCGGTCCGGCCGACGGGGAGGCGCTGGGCACCCCAGCGATACTCACCATGGGTGCTGGCTTCCCTCCGGACACAATGCAGACCAGTGTGAAATTCTGGGCTTGGTAGCGGCTGAAGGGGGCGGGCGTGTCAGCGGCCACCACTTCGATGGAGGTCGGGGGAGCTGTCAGAGGGGGAAGCACAAGAGGACGAGGGCTGAACTGGGAGGTCTGAGCTGGTTGCCCGAGATGGGCCAGGTCCCATGCCAGGGGCGGGGGTGGGGGAGGGCAAATGTGGCATGGCGCCCAGGGGGTGCCACTGGCCTCCACTACGTGGGGCGATGCCCCTTGCTGGGAATACAGTCAAGAGCCCTGCCCTCCTGGGTCTCACAACGCTGCAGGGAAGACATGCAGGAAGGAAGAGACAACACGGATAGAAGTGCTCAGTGCCTCCGACCCCAGGAGACATCGCTGTGTGTCCAGGGGATCCTGCCTAAGCCCGGACATTCTGGAAGACCCTGCTGAAGAAGCCCCACTAGTGCTGTGACCGGAGGAAGCAACAACAGGTGAAAGATGGGGTGACAGGTGGCCTGGAGGTAGGTTGGCTGGGGTTGGGCGGGGCAGGCAGAGATAGGGAGGCAGGTGGGTCAAGGGGGCTGGGCAGATGGGCAGGGCTCATCTGACAGGGGTCATGACTTGCAGGGGTGTGCTGGAGCCCCTTCCCACCGGTGGAGATGATTGTGACGCCTCCAGGAATTCTGTGAGCCAGTGGTTAAACGGTTTCTAACTTGAAAGAGATCACCGTAGGCAGCTTTGCACCACAAAGATCCACAACTGCTACAGACCAGGCTTTTCTTTTTCCCATTCTTTTGCCTCAGTACCCCCAGACAGCTGGCTTACCAGCTCACCATGGGCTACGAGTTTTTCTTCTTTATCCTAAGAGCAATGGGGAGCCACTGAAGGTTTTAAGCGAGAGCAGTGACATGATCCGACTTGCATTTGGAAGAGACTGAAAACAGAGTGACTTGCAGCTGGAGGGGCTGGTAGCTTAGACTCTGGTGGGGGCAGTGGAGAGGGAGAAGTAGGGTGACCTGGGGAGCTAGGTGGAGCCAGGAGCCTTCCCTCCCTTCCGTTCCGAGGTTGGCTTAGTCCAGTCGGCTGTCCCTCCCACCCACTCACCTCTCCTCACTCCTCACCTTCCGCCGCTGAACGGTTTGCCACAGCCTGTGCCGCCAGGTACCGCAGGTTATTAGAAAGGACACACACTGGGCCGTTGGACACGTCTGGGTCCGAATCCCAGCTCGGTCACCACCATCTCCACGTCTTTTCACAAGTTACCAAAACGGTGAGCCCCAGTTTCCTCATTGTCAAATGAAAATACTACTTGGCAGACATATTTGCGAGACAAAACCAGCTGGTGGATATGAAAGGGCCTGGCATACGGCAGGGACTCGCCATTACTATGATTTCTTCTATTATTTCCTAGACTTCCCATTATCAGCAGGACAGGAGCCAGAGTCTTAGAACTTTGCTTGAAAAAGGCTGTCAGTTCTGGCTTACCCACCTCAGGCTACGGGCAGGATGAGAAGCTGAGAAAATAAAGTGGTGTGGGCCCTTCCTTCCTGCAGGAGGTTTTCACTCCAGTTAAGTTTAATTAAGTCCGACAAACATTTCCTGACACCTACTAGGTGCTGGGCACGGTGCCGGGTTTTAAGGGTGGGTGCCCAGGCATGAGACAGAAGCTCACGGTTGGGTGGGGGCGACAGACCCACGAGCCACCCTATTTTAAGGCCAAGTGAAACAAAGCCAGGTATGAGTCATTCATTCATTCAGGCAGCCACCCCAGGCTGCCGGCAAGAGAAGCAGAACACACAGAAAACAATAGGAGAACAATAGACGGAGAATTGTAATTAAGCATAAGATCCGTGAAACAGATGGTAAGTGGGGCAGGAACTCGAGGAGGGAAAAACGCACCAGAACACTCCAATTACCTAGAAGTGCAGATTCTGCAGTCTCACTCTTCCAACACTGGCCTGAAAACCTGGATCCCGCACGAGAACTGACGGTGGGTGGCACAAGCCAGGAGCTGCGCTAAGCTCTTAACGTGGTTTTGTTCTTTTCCTCATCACCATCCGTCTACAAGGTAGGCCGACCCATGCCCATATTACAGACGGGGAAACTTAAGAGGTGTAGCCACTTGCCCGGGTTTCTGAAGCCAGTATGAGGGAGAGCCAGGATTCGAACTGAGGCCGTCTGACGTGAAGCTGTGTTGCCTCAAACTTTGGAAGGAAAAGGGGAGCTGGTGCTTGACTGGTGCCTTTAGACCCAAGGACACCTTTAAGCCCCTGGGAACGCGCGTTTGCCTGGCACCTCTCGACTTACGTGGGTACGTGTGATCCAGTTCTATTGGGAACCAATCCCGGGGATGGCTGTAGCTTTCTGGTTGCCCCAAAGATCAGTGACCGTTCCAGGCAGAGCTGAGCATGAAACTCTAGCACGGTTGGTGATGGGATGGGTGCGGGGCACCCTCTGAGAGCCCTGGAGGGTCAGGGCTAGGCAGACAGCGCCTTTAAAAGCGCTTGTGAGCCGGGCTCGGTGGCTCAGCCTGTAATCCCGCACCTTTGGGAGGCTGAGGTGAGTGGATTGCCTGAGCCTGCGGGTTCGAGGCCCGCCTGAGCAACTTGGCGAGACATCGCTACAATAAAAAAAATCAGCCGGGCATGGGTAGCGCGTGCCTATAATTCTGGCTACTCAGAAGGCTGAGGCAGAAGGATCGCTGGACCCCAGCAGGTTAATGCTGCAGTGGCCAGGAGCGGCCACTGCACTCCAGTCTGGGCGACAGAGTGAAGCTCCAACTCAAAAAAATAAAAAAAATAAAAAAAATAAAAAGGCGTTCGGGCATTCTTTCTCACCTCCATCAAACAAACAAACAGAGAGCAGACCCCTAGGACCTTCCTTAGAGGATGGCTTTGAGGTGCCTGCAATGCGAGTTAACAATTTTAATTAGTATCCCTTGATTCACAATTAATAAGGGTGGGTGTCTAGGACAATGGTTAAGAGTGTGAGCTCTGTATCGGACTAGCCAGGGGTCAGAGATCAGCTGTGCTGTGCCACTTCCCAGCGGTGTGAGCTTCTCAAAGGCTCAGTTTCCTTATCTGCAAAGTGGAATTACAGGGTACTTGTACCGCAGTGCCAGCCAAGTGCTTGGAAGGTGCTTTGCAGCAGCCTGATTTACTGACATTCTTATTTGCATCTCCTTGCTAAGGACTGGGAGGATCAAGCATGCCCTGGGCCATTCACAGGTTCGTAAGGAGGCCAGAAAGTGCCCTGGACTTGCCCCAGCCCACACACTAGCCACTCACTCTGCGCAGCTGGCGAGCACTTGAAATTTGGCTTGCTCAAGTTCACGTGAACCGTAAGTGTAAAACACACACCCCACCTTGAAGACTTAATTTCTTGAGAGGAGTAAGATACGCCATTAATATTTTTACATCGATTACACGTTGACATGATAGTATTTTGGATACATTGGGTTTAATAAATGTATTACTGAAACTAATTTCACCCTTTTAAAAATTTATTTTATGTGGATATCAGAAAATTTCCAATTCTATATGTGGTTTACACTGTATTTCTGTGGGACATCTCTGGCCTAGACTTTCCATTTTATAGGAAGGCAAACTGAGGTCAGAGAGAGGCACAGATTTTCCTGCAGTCAGGAAAATCAGTCAGGAAGTCAGTGGCAGAGCCTGGACTGGCCCCTGGTCCTCCCAATCCTGCCTAGGGTGCTCCCCTCCCCACACCCAACACACACACACACACACACGCACACACACACACACACACACACTCACACCCCCATCTTGGATATCTGCGCCCATGTCACGCACACCACCCACGCAGACCCCGAAGGGAGCTGTGTTCCCGTCCCTCGTTATATTTCTGAGCATGTGTTAGCAATATGTACAGTTAATCAAGCTCATGAGACAAGAACCGATTTCAGTTATGGGCGATGACACAGCGCAGCCGCGAATATCAGCATGGACAGCCCAGCCCCACTCGCCGGCCACGTCCTCCCCAGGCACTCCGTCCTGGGAAACGTCTCTCGGCGTCTCGCTGCCCGTCTCCTGGTGGACAGCTGCGGGTGCAGGCGGGCAGGGAGTGTTGCTACCTGGGACTGACTCTCCAGCTGTAGTAGAGGTTTCACCTGCCCATCACTGCGATCGTCACCCTCTTTGCCTTCCCTGGACTAAGCATAGCACCCTTTTACACTCAGCCCACTAAGGGCCAGCACCTGAAACTCGTGCTCTACACCCTTCTCCACTCCCAGGCTTCCCTGCTAGATCTCAGCCCCACCTCCCTCTTCCTCTCCACCTCCTTCCCATCCCCATCCCCGTCCCTCCCATCATCGTCTCCACCCCCTACTCTGTCCTCATTCTGTCCCCATCCCGGCCCCATTTCTTTCCCACCTCTGTTTCCACCTCCATGCCTATCCTCACCTCTATTCCCTTCCTCCTCTTTATTTCTCATCCAACCACATCCCCATTTCCGTCTCCATCCCACCCCCACCCCCAGCCCCATCTTCCCTCTTCTCACCAGCCCACCCCATTTCAGTCTCCGGGGGTGGGGATGGGGTGGGGTGGGGTGAGGATGGAAGAATAACTGGCTGTAGTCATCACAGTAAGAGTCAGAACCTGGACATAGCCGGGCTCGGTGGCTCAGCCTGTCATCCCGTGCCTTTGGGAGGCTGAGGTGAGTG